ACATTCCACTGGAACCAGGATCAGTCGGAAAGAAGCCAAGACCAGATGCAGGAAGGCTGCCCTGGTGGTGAGAAGCAGCCGATTCGGAAGAAGGAGGGAACTGACTGATTTTTTTTCTCTACCCCAATCTGAACATTCAAGGGCTGAAGGCAGTTCCGCCTCTCACCAGGCTACCCTGAAGGCTCTGAGCCCCAAGCACCCGATCTTTGTAAAAAGCAAAGGGTATCATGTGAACATTTGAGATGACCTTTCTAGGGAAGGATGGAAATATGAAGGGGTGGGTTTTTTTTTTTAATTTAAAGGGAACTGAACAGGATGGTGTATAAAGAGAAGAGGGATCATTTCTGTGCCCTCATGCACTAGATGTATTGGTTGGTCAACAAGCATTTATTTAGTGCTTACTAGGTGCTATGCACTGGGATACAAAGAAAGGCAAAATCATAGTCCCTGCCCTCAGGAAACTCACATTCTAACAGGGAAGGGGAAGGAAAGCGAAGTAAGCATTTCTATGGGGCCTATGACGTGACAAGCATTATGATGAGCGCTTTTTATAAATATTATCTCATTACAACAACCAAGGAAGGCAGGTGCCAATATTATTCCTATTTTACAGATATTAGAACTGAGGCTAAGAGCCGTTAAGTCCAGGCTCACACATAGCTAGTAGCAGCTAGGTGGTACAGTGGATAGAGCCTTTAAGTCAGGAGGACCTGAGTTCAAATTTGACCTTAGACACTTACTTCGTTACCCCGGGCAAGTTACTTACCCTGTTTGCCTCAGTTTCCTCATCTATAAAATGAGCTGGAGAAGGAAATGGCAAACCACTCCAGTATCTTTGCCAAGAAAACCCCAATGGGGTCAGGAAGAGTTAGACACACCTGAAACAACTCAACAACAACCATGACCACATACAGCTACTAAGTGTTGGAGGTCAAATTTGAACTCAGGTCTTCTTGACTACATGTCCAGAGCTCTATTTACTGCTCCACCAGCTGCCCCTTATGTGGAAGACAAAAGAATGCATCCAGTATAAAAGGAAGGTAATCTCCAAGGGAAGGCCCCAGTGGGGGCGAGGGACGAACATGAGGGGCTAACAGAAGGAAAAAGGCCTCCTGCAGAAGATGGGGATTGAATGGAGTCTTCTGGGAGCCCGGAGGCAGAGATGAGGAAGGAGAATATCCCAGGCTTGGGCACAACCAGTGAGATGAAGCGTCATGTCTGAGGAACTGCAAGTAAGCCAGTGTTGTTGAAACAGAGTGTGAGGACATTAAAAAGACTGCAAAGGCACGAAGGAGTCTGGTTGTGAAGGGTTTAAAGGCCCAGCAGAGGATTTTTATTTGATGCTGAAGGTAACAGGGAGGCACTGGAGTTTGAGTAGAGAGTGATCAGACCTGCACTTTGGGAACATGACTGTGGCACTGAGTATGGGTCAGAATGAAGAGAGATTTGGGGCAAGGAGACCAGCCAGGGAGCTACAGCAAGAGTCCAGGCACGGGGTGATAAAGGTCTGCACCACAGTGGCCCCTATGTGAGTGGAGAGGAGAGTGACCACATAAGAGATGCTGAGAGGTAGAAACAACCAGACGTGGCGATAAATCAGCTGGGATTTATTTATTGACCTCTGGATTATGGGAGGATAGTGGTGCCCTGGGCAATGAGGGAAGTTAGGAAGAAGGGAGGGTTTGGAGAAAAGATAATGAGTTCAGTTTTGGGCTTATCAAGTTTGGGATGCCTGTGGAACATCTGATTGAGAGGTACAAAAGGCGGCTGCTGATGTGACACTAGAACTCAGGAAAGCGACTAGGACTGGCTATGGAGATCTGAGAATTATCTGCCTGGAGATGACTGAACCCGTGGGACCTGATGAGATTACCAAATATGATGGAGAGCAGAGGGGGGGCTCAGAAGAGAACATTGGGGAACATCCATGGTTAGCAAAGGTGACGTGAAGAACCAGCAAAGGAGACTGAGGAGGAGTTGGAGAGAAAGGGAGAGAAGCAGGAGGGAGCAGAAAACCTGAGAAAATATCCAGGAGGCGCTCACCAGTGTAAAATGCTGCTGGGAGCTTAAGAAGAACGAGGACGGAGAAAGGCCGCTCAAAGACTTGGCGCAGAAGATCAAACAACAGCTATGGAAGCTATACCTCACGTCGTGTTGGCCAAATGAGAGAGGACAGATTAAAGTCAAAGAGGGGGCTGGGGGCTGCCTGGGCCCATCTCACGTACGGGTGCCAGTACAGCAGGCGGCTCCCTTCATGGGGAGGATCCCCACAGATCCAGGCCATTGGACCTGCAAAGTGGAGACAAAAGTTTCAGATTAGATGTGCACACCTTTGATTGAGGCCCAAGAGTCAATATTTCCACTCCTAGAAAACTCATGGGAACCCAAGGAGTATGTGAGAGTGTGCATGAGTGAAAGTGAGTGAGTGTGTGTGTGTGTGTGTGTGTGTGTGTGTGTGTGTGTGTGTGTGTG